AAGTACCGAAGTGTGGTATCATCTTCACTTGCCTTATCTGTCTCATAAGTAGATGTGGCATCTTCTCTGGAAGTACTCTTCCTCGATCCAGGGATGATATCTTTAACTGGTGGAGATGCACAAGGTAATGTATCAATTTCACTTGAAGCTTACTTGTAGTTTCAGGCTTGGTCAAGCGCGATACAAACCATGTAGTAGAAGTCCCCCAAGTCGCCGAGCTAGGGGATCTGTTGAAAGAGATGACAAACAAGGTAAGCAATCAGAGCTCCAAGCAATCGGTCCTAGATCAAAAGTTTGATTTCGAGTTCCGGCTGATTGTTCTCATTCTCCCTATCTTGCAGGCATCATTCTCCCTATCTTGTCTCCACATGCTTCCTTGTATCCTTCTCACTTGCCCTATCTGTTCCTCAGACAGATGCGGTACCTTCTCTGAAAGCATAAGATGTTGGAGATGAGTACTCGAGAGCAATGCCAGGTAAGTAATCAGGTAAGGGGTTCCAGGCAATCAATTCCTGACTGGAAGCTTGATTCCAAGTGTTGACTGATTGCTCTCTTTCTCCTTGTCTTGCAGGTAAGAACAAGGCCAAAGGAAAAGACAGGGAAAAAGCATGATATGGGATACTCTTGCTTTTAACCCTGATGATATGAGATATTCTTACTCTGGTATAGCTTGTTTGCAGAGGTATTATCGGGGGGAAAGAAAGCTGAATATTTCGAAAGGCTTCGTTGGGAGTGCCCTCTCATATATGAGAAAGGGTTGAGCATTTTTGCAAGTCTGCCTGTCCGTTGGGAATGGAGGTCGACATATATAGGAGTCTCCCTAACAACAAGTAGTAATGATATTCCTTTACCCTGCTTGGTCATAGCACGGTAGTGGGAGCTGCCATCTTCACATGTTTTAACTCTGTCAGAGAACTTTGAAAAAGTGCTCTGTGGTATCTGGAAAGCTGATGTTGCGTGTGAAGATTACAGACAAGCAATCCTGTCGGGGATCTGGCTCTCGAGATTCGAAGAACGATGCCTCTTCGATTTTTGAGAAAGCAATCCTGCTGGGGGTCTGGCTCTCGAGATTCGGAGAGCGGTCTCTTCGATTTTTAAGAAAGTAATCATGTTGGGAGTCTGGCTCTCGAGATTCAGAGGGCGGTGCCTCTTCGATTTTGGAGCAAGCAATTTTGTTGAGAGTGTTTTCTCGAATGTGAGTAAAGGTTGGACATGTTTGCTAGTCTACCTTGCCACGAAGCACAGAGGTTGACACACAGGGATTTTCCAATTATCCAGCAGTGGTACTGTTCTTTTACCCTTGTGGGTAATAATATGGTAGCTAGACTTTCAAAATTTATGTGTCTAAACTTTGTTAGTGCTGTTTCTTTGCTATTCTTTTACCCTTCTTGGTCAGAGCGATGTAGTGGGAGCTGCAAGCTTCACGTGTCTCAACTTTGTCAGAGAATTTTGGCAAAGTTATCTGTGGTACCCATGAGCTAATGTTGCGTATGGAAAGTGGGTGATTGAACAGTAAGATTCATGTACTTTCTACTTCACCAGAAATCTTCGACAGAATGCCCGTAATTTCCGCAAAGCTGAGTGTGCGTGTGACAGGTGCTGACAAGGCTGAAAAAGTAGGTGCATCTTCGATTTCTAAGATCGGCCCTCGTGGTCTCTGAGCAGCCCAGCTTTTGAGAAAGCAAGCGCCTCTTCGATTTCTAAGATCGGCCTTCATGGTCTTTGAGCAGCCCAGCTTTTGAGAAAGCAAACGCCTCTTCGATTTCTGAGATCGACCCTCGTAGTCTCTGAGCAACCCAGCTTTTGAGAAAGCAAACGCCTCTTCGATTTCTGAGCAGGCGCCTCTTCGATTTCTGAAGCTCCGTAAAGTGCAGATTTTTATAGAGGTTGGCATTAAGTTCCAAAGCACACTTGAATCTCCACTAGTAGAAGCTCCATTCTTGCACTCCTAAGATCTTGATTTGTCCGACCTCTTCTCTCTTCAACACCTTTGAAAATGTCTGGCCCATCCGACCGTCGTTTTGACTTGAACCTTGTTGAAGAAGCAGCCACGCCTTCTCCAGACAACATATGGCGCCCATCCTTCGTCTCCCCTACTGGTCCTCTTACTGTTGGGGATTCCGTGATGAAGAATGATATGACCGCTGCAGTGGTGGCTAGGAACCTTCTCACTCCCAAAGATAACAGACTACTTTCCAAACGGTTTGATGAGTTGGCTGTTAAGGATTCTCTGGCTCTCAGTGTTCAGTGTGCAGGTTCTATGTCTAATATGGTCCAACGCCTATTTACTCGAACCCGCCAAGTTGAATCATTGGCGGCTGAAGTGATGAGTCTCAAACAGGAGATTAGAGGGCTCAAGCATGAGAATAAACAGTTGCACTGGCTCGCACATGACTATGCTACAAACATGAAGAGGAAGCTTGACCAGATGAAGGAATCTGATGGTCAGGTTTTACTTGATCATCAGAGGTTTGTGGGTTTGTTCCAAAGGCATTTATTGCCTTCGTCTTCTGGAGCTGTACCGCGTAATGAAGCTCCAAATGATCAACCTCTGATGCCTCCTCCTTCTAGGATTCTGTCCAGTACTGAGGCTCCGAATGATCCCCTTCCGATGCCTTCTCTTTCTGGGGCTCTACCGACTGCTGAGACTTCTCCTAAGCAACCTTTGTGAAAGCTCCCTCTTGTTTGTTTATTTTGACTCATGTATATGTACATATTTGTAACTTATCGGGGATATCAATAAATAAGCTTTGCTTCATTTTAACGTATTGTGTTAAATACACCAAAGCCTTCTTCACTAAGTTCTTTGAATTTTTCTTTTGTTGAAGCTTTGTAAGTGGAACATGTAGGTTGAGGTAGTGTTCCCTTAATTTCCCGAGTGAGGAAAACTTCTCGGTTGGAGACTTGGAAAATCCAAGTCACTAAGTGGGGTCGGCTATATGAATCTTAGAACGCCATTGTGCTCGGTCCTGTGTCATGTCCTCCGTTAGATCCAAGTACTCTAAGTCTTTTCTTAGAGTCTCTTCCAAAGTTTTCCTAGGTCTTCCTCTACCCCTTCGGCCCTGATCCTCTGTCCCATAGTCGCATCTTCTAATCGGAGCGTCAGTAGGCCTTCTTTGCACATGTCCAAACCACCGTAACCGATTTTCTCTTATCTTTCCTTCAATTTCGGCTACTCCTACTTTACCCCGGATATCCTCATTCATAATCTTATCCTTTCTCGTGTGCCCACACATCCAACGAAGCATCCTCATCTCCGCTACACCCATTTTGTGTACGTGTTGATGCTTCACCGCCCGACATTCTGTGTCATACAGCATTGCCGGCCTTATTGCCGTCCTATAAAATTTTCCCTTGAGCTTCAGTGGCATACGGCGGTCACACAACACGCCGGATGCACTCTTCCACTTCATCCATCCAGCTTGTATTCTATGATTGAGATCTCCATCTAATTCTCCGTTCTGTTGCAAGATAGATCCTAGATAACGAAAATGGTCACTCTTTGGTATTTCTTGATCTCCGATCCTCACCCCTAACTCGTTTTGGCCTCCATTAGCACTGAACTTGCACTCCATTTATTCTGTCTTTGATCGGCTTAGGCGAAGACCTTTAGATTCCAACACTTATCTCCAAAGGTTAAACTTTGCATTTACCCCTTCCTGAGTTTCATCTATCAACACTATATCATCTGCGAAAAGCATACACCAAGGAATATCATCTTGAATATGTCCTGTTAACTCATCCATTACCAACGCAAAAATGTAAGGACTTAAGGATGAGCCTTGATGTAATCCTACAATTATGGGAAAGCTTTCGGTTTGTCCTTCATGAGTTCTTACGGCAGTCTTTGCTTCTTCATACATATCCTTTATAGCTTGGATATATGTTACTCGTACTCATTTCTTCTCTAAAATCCTCTACAGAATGTCTCTTGGGACCCTATCATACGCTTTTTCCAAATCTATAAAGACCATGTCTAAATCATTTTTCCCATCTCTATATCTTTCCATCAATCTTCGTAAGAGATAGATTACCTCCATGGTTGAACGCCCTGACATGAACCCGAATTGGTTGTCCGAAACCCGTGTCTCTTGCCTCAATCTATGCTCAATGACTCTCTTCCAAAGTTTCATTGTATGACTCATTAGCTTAATACCCCTATAATACCCCTATAGTTCATGCAATTTTGTACGTCACCCTTGTTCTTGTAGATATGCACCAAAGTGCTCGTTCGCCACTCATTTGGCATTTTCTTCGTTTTCAAAATCCTATTGAAAAGGTCAGTGAGCCATGTTATACCTCTCTCCCAAAACTTTCCACACTTCGATTGGTATATCGTCTAGGCCCACTGCTTTTCTATGCTTCATCTTCTTCAAAGCTACAACCACTTCTTCATTCCGGATTCGACGATAAAATGAGTAGTTTCTACACTCTTTTGAGTTACTCAACTCCCCTAAAGAAGCACTCCTTTCATGTCCTTCATTGAAAAGATTATGAAAATAACCTCTCCATCTGTCTTTGACCGCGTTCGCTGTAAAATTGGACAAAATGCAATAAGCAATAATTAAATATCACTACTTTCCTTCCAAAAGCGCATACTTCATCAATGGTAACATTAGGCCCCCTCAACAAATTCCAAATTCTACACTCAGATCCAATCAGCAATAATATAATAAAAAGGCATATAGAGATCCAAAATGTTGAAATTACAATAAAAAATCAAATCATGCTTTAAAGAAATGCAACATATTCATGAAAAACTTGAAATTTTGGGAACAATTCACTTCATTCATTAGAATCAAAGTAAAGAGATTGAAGCCAAAATTTGAAACAAAAACCATAATCGAATTAACTAAATTATATCATTTGAAAAGGATAATAACTAAGAAATAAAACAGATTGAGAAGGACAATCATGACCTATGCCCAACTGCTCCTAGAAGAATTGTATCGATTGCTTAGCTGACAAAAGGGTCTCATCATGTAATGGCACTCCAGTCAAATCCAAATATCCAAATGTTATATAATTACTAATCCCAACAAAATTACTCGATTATACAACACACAGAGCAGCTCAAAATGTTAAACATTAACCCAAAGAAAATATGGGAAAATTAAAGACTTTTCCTTTTAATTTTCCCACCGTTTCTCAGGAACCAAACAGGTAAAATGGAAATAAAATTGAGAAAAGGAAGAAAACGGAAGCAGAATTAAAAGAAACCATCGATGGAGGGGGCGAGGTTGAGACCAATGCCATCGCCGAGAAGCAAAGTGATGGGGTAGCGTTTGGAGGGTGAGGCTGCAGAGCAACTGATCTTACCCACTCTGCTTTCATCGACCGCTAAACAGAGAAAAAGGAGATAAAAATAAAAAAATAAAAAAAATTGTCGTATAAATAAATTTGTAAAAGTGGGAAAATTGGCGGTGATTACAATTTGTAAAAGGAGCAACTGATCCTACCCACTCTGCTTCATCGATGGATATTGTATAAATAAATTTGAAACCCCTCATACCTTAAATTGGAATTTCGAAACTGAAAGACGAAGGCAAGACGACGACATAGTACGGTTTGCCGGCGTTCGTACGAAAACAGCTCGCCAGAATTAGAAGACCTAGAACCTAGCCGCTTAACACTTGAAATCGATTTGTTGGTTTCGAGGTTTAAGTGTGGGAATTCGCTTTGCTGATTTGAGGGTTTTAGGTTTCGAATATTTTTCTGTTAATTGTGAGCAACAGAGCTAAAGGGGACGATGTTTTGCCAGATGAGGCGAAGAGGCAGAGGGGAAGATTCACTCACTCCAATCCTTCAAGAACCCATAATTTTTTCAATCTTTGGAACCCTAGAAAAATCACCAGAAGATTAATTTCTTTGGAAAAGAATTTTTTAAAATCTAAAGTAGGATAAATTGCTTACCTTCCGTATAGAGGGTTTTGGAAAATGCAAGGATGGACTGGTGGCGCGTCGCGGTTCTCGCGTGTGAGCTAGTCGTCGAATTTGGGTACAGGTGGAAAAGCAATTTACAGAGTTGGCGGTGGTTTTGTTTGATTGAAGAATCTCGTTGAAAGAGGAGGAAGGCTTTCGAAAATGGAGCACTGCAGCAGGAAGGAAAAGGTGGAGGAGATTGGTTGATTCGTGATAGTGTCATTCCCCTTTCACTTAAAGAATAAAATAAGGAATTTTAACGAAAAGCACCTGGTACTGTTTATTTTAACGAAAAATCATATTTTTACACTAAAAAGTCAATCATGATACTATTCACTTTACCCTTTATTTTGTCCTTATCATTAAAACTCAAAGTTTTTAAACCATTTTCATTAGTTTGCTATAAAACAATTATAGCTACGTAACCTTTTCTCTACGTAAGATTGTGTCATTAGCACGGAACGGGACAAAGAGACAAATAAAACAATCACAAACCCGCCTCTTAAACCTACAGCCTTCTGCGACTTGAACATTTCTTCGCCTCGGACCCCAGAGGACTCCGCCAAGGCCGTTCCCGGCGACCCATTTCCTCTCGACGGTGCTCGAGCCAGCCGAGCCCTCAGGATTCAGCAACTCTCTCTTTGGGAAATGGATTCCCTTTGGGTGTTATACCTTCCTAATCCCCCACTTCTAACAGGGACTTGGGTTCTTTCTCTCTCCAGTCCCTCTTGCTCAGACCAGCTACCTCTAACTGGTACACTGCTACAACTTCTTTGCTTAGCTATTGCCTATTGGGTTTTTCTCAATCTTTTTATTTATTTTTCGTTTAATGGATATTCTTTTTCGTTTTACGTGTCCGTGGATTAGTTTGTGGTTTCTATAGTTACTGAGAAAATGATGGGAAATGGGTGTGATTCGTTTGTTGTTTGTTTGGTTGCTGGGAAAGTTTGGAGGGAAGAGCAATTGAAATTGTTGTTATGGGGTGGAATTGGGTAATGGAAAAAGGTTAGGAAAGATAATTTGTCTCCTGTTCCTGAGAAATGTACCTTTTTTTTGTTCTCCAAATTCGTATTTTTGTAAATGATTTTTATATTACTAATTGCTAAAGAGCCTCTGCTTCTAGGCTTGGTTTGTGCTATGTTTGATATGTAGGAAGATGTTGGTATATATTATATAAGATTTGGATTATTGGTGAATTACTTGATGTGAGAAAGAGAGATTGAGTGGAAAGCTTGACAGCCGAACAAAGCTTGTTTGCCTTGTTATAGTGGTATAACACATAAAGCATGAATTTTTTGTTGCCTCATTATTTTACTGATTTGCAAGGGGGTTCTTATGTTTTTCGAGAGCATCAAAGTTTCCTTTGCTTTATCACGTTTATCGGAGCAATGGTTGGGATTATCCAACTTTTCTTTTTATGGGACTTTGTAGGTGAAAAAGTTTGTTTCGATGTTTTGAAATTTGAAAAATATCGTATCTAATGAATGTACTGTGTAAATGCATTGAAAATTTGAAATTTCTGATCCAAATGCGTTGAGTTTTGGGCAGTTCCGCCCGAAGAAACTTTTTCTTCTATTAAAGCTGAATTTACTAATGACGAGATGGAGGTCTCTACATTCAAAGATGTGGTGAAGCATGTCATGGACAAGTCACTTTATTCATTTGGATTATGCGCACAGCTTCTTTTGTCTCCGTCATCATCCATACAGTTGAGCACAGAAGGGAATGGTGAGAAAAAAAGTAAATTGATGCTCTTTCACAAGGCACACATTTGCTTTCCTAGTTTTGACCTTTAATCAAATTGTTTAAACAGTCAGAATTCATGTTATCTTTTGTTTTCCAGGTTCGTGAAGCGAGTTTGAGTGATTTATGGGTGTAGGTGGATGATATGTTTACTGATTGCAGTTGTTAGATTTAATGTTCTTCCTGGGGTTTGTTCATGCCAGGTTGATCCGTTGTAGTATCATCGTACTGCGTTTTTTTATCTTTCATACGACAAATTTCTCATATAGGAATTAAAGTTAAACATATGTAATTCTAGGGATGTATCTACATGAGCTATTAATCACTTGAACATATACCAGAATCAGTGAGCATGTATAATCTTAAAAGTATTATTCCTAATTTCTTAATTGTTGAAAAATAAGGCCTTGTTTGGTCTCTAGGATTGGAATGGAATGGATAAACTACTGTATTCAATGTATATTAAAGATAAAGGTGAATGAGTTTTCATATTGAGGGGATTAGAAGGGGGATAAGACATGATGGAAAATAATCCCTTCTGATCCTTACCATTTTGGAAGATTGGAATGGAAAATAATCCATCTCCTACCTTCAAGTAACCCACATTTTTTTCATTTCTTTCGTCAACATACCTTGAATATAGTGGGTTGTCCATTTCAATCCAATCTTAGAGACCAAATGAGGCCACAATTTTTTCAATTCTTTCCTGAACATACCTTGGATATAGGTCATATTTATCACATGCTTCAGACGGCTTAATTTACAAGTTTCTTATGTTTACCACCTTTAAATATAGGTTACATGGCTAGACAACATTGCACATATGCACTGCACCGAACATAGATAAAAGTGGAAAGTTTCATGTCTGCAAATTAAGAGCCATGTACTGAAAAAGTTAATGTCTGTACCTTTAACATTGCACATGTGCTCCCTAAGCTGTGTTAGTGAAAAAGTTCATGTCTGTACCTTTATTTCCTTCATTTATCTTCATGTTTAAATTATGAGCTTTATTACCATGATATTACACTTGAGGCTGCATGGCCTGAACTGTTCGTTGACCATAAAGGAAAATACTGGGATTTGCCTGAGTCAATGTCCTTAGATATGTCATCACTTGTTTCCGGTTCTGGATTGTGGTACCGCATTGGTCTACCTAAAAACATCCAGGCAGTTAATTCCGTAGATGGTGAGGCACCTACTTCTCTAATGCCTGGATTCTGCGCAAAGGCTGCCTTTTCTTATGAAAAAAGCCAAGATCTGTGGAGGCAAAATGAGACACGAAAAGACATCATGATACAGAAAGAAAAGGGTTGGTTTTGGCGGCCATCTTATGATGTGCGTCATAAAGAACCTCATTCTTCAGTATCTGGAATTTTTGGTAATTTTACACATTACTCATATTTTCTGTGATAACTTGTATTATCTCATTACATTTTTGTTGGAAGTTTTATACCAATACTCAGGTGCAATATCGTATAACTTTTTAGCTTATACATTTGCCTGTTTTTATACATGTATACATGTTTTGGTACCTCTTAGTTTCACTTATATTGTATGTGTAGTAGTTTTCTACTTTAATATTAAACCCAGCATATGTAATGAGTATGTCACCTCGTTTCATCTGTTCCGTGGTTGTAGGTAGATGTGCCTGCAGTAAAAAAAACCATCATAAATAATAGTAATAAAATATAATTCTAGAGACAAAAGTTCTAACAGAACAATCCAATATTTTTGTTTTGTGTTTATTAGTCCAGGTCTGTTGCCGACAGTGTGCAATCTCTTAAGGATTTTACCTTTACTATTTCCTGATGTTTGCACCACAGAAGACCAGATACGGAATTCTATAATTGTAAAAATTAATGGGTAGTCAACCTAGTCATTGTTAGTGATATAGTTCCCTTTTATTTGCAAAATGAAATTGTAATGCCATTTCTCACTTTTCTTCTGGTCAATGGTGGCATTACATTTTTGGTAGAAGCTGCACTGCCTGGTTTCAGGATGGGTACAACCCAGTGGCAGTTGATATGAAGGGAGACGAGGACAATTCTAGGAGCAATAAGAAGAGAAATCCATTCAGTGCTGATTTTCGGCTCTCTCTGCTGTACTTTCCAGCACGGGAAATTTAGAGAGCTCTATGGTGATCTAACCAGGATTGATTCTCGTCTGGATATTTGTTCAGCTTCAGCTTTGGCTAAAAGGTTTATTAATGGTTTGAAGAGTTCCTCTGCTAATAGTGCAAAAGATCCGATGTCCTCCCCTAGGATCAATCTAATCTTTCAGCAGCAGGTATTTCTATTTATACCTTAACTGTTTAAATGTTGTGCACCTTAAGTTGGAAGATAATTTTTAAATGCAGTTATGCACAATATGTTACAAAACCTGCATAGTCATTTGCTAATTGGTACTTGTGGAAGCGTGTATGCCCTGTCTGATTTCGATAATCTGCAGTCATTTTTCTGCTGATGTATCTGTACAGTCGTTTGCTCATGTGTTTTAATGTACGACTATCAGATCAGCGTAGAACTTTAAAATGAGAGGATGCCTTTATATGGCTATTAACATGCGTGGCTGGGGTGAATGTTTTGGTTACTGGGATGAAATCCAATTGTTATTGACACATTACCTTTCCTTTGTAGATTTATGGGCCAATTGTCTTTAGAGCGGATTCCAGGGTTGCACTTGACTGCGTTAGTATCGTGTCACATCCACTTGAAGGCTGAAGAGAGTTTGAGTAGCAAAGCATGGAGATAAAATTGCCTACTAGTTGATGAGTTTTAAGTCTTTCTGTCCTCATTTGTCCTGACTTGGGAAGGAGCCCGAGGATTTTCCTACGTCCATGTGTACATTTTATTTGTTTATGATGTAGGATATTTCATATGATGCGGACGTGAAAATTAATTTGAGAATCGAAATTAACATTAAATTTATAAATTGGAACCTATTCACCTCCCTTAAACTAGTACCATCCTTCATTGAAACATAACATATGGGCACTCCATCACCACCTTCTCCTTTCATACCATGGTGGATTTTGCGGATTTCTCAACCACTAATCTCTTTCTCGCAAAGTACTTCTATGACAGTGATACATCGCCATGGTAGAGTCTCAAGCCAATGAAACAATTATAACTCATAAGTTTTTCTCCACTTAATATCATGTCATTAGCACGAAATGCGATAAAGAGGATACACCATGTTCATACTCATTTCAATTCAAGACAGATAAGGACCCAAAGGAAGAGAAAAATAAAACCATCACAAACCCACCACTTAAACCCCGAAACCGAAACCAAAAAGAATTTGTGCTCCCTCACTCTTTCGACAGCCAACAATGGTGAACCTGAGGACGGCAATGGACTCAGCCTTCTGGGACTTGAACGTTTCTTCGCCTCAGACCCTTGAGGGCTCCGCCAAGGCCGTTCCTGGCGACCCATTTCCTCTCAACGGTGCTCGAGCCAGCCGAGCCCTTAGAATTCAGCAACTCTCTTCTGGGTGTTATACCTTCCTACAACCCCAATTCTAACAGGGACTTGGTCTTTCTCTCTCCAGTCCCTCTTGCTCAGACCAGCTACCTCTAACTGGTACACTGCTACAACTTATTTGCTTAGCTATTGCCTATTGGGTTTTCTCAAATTTATTTTATTTTTCATTTAATGGATATTCTTTTTCGTTTTACGTGTTTCCATGGATTGGTTTGTGGTTTGTATGGTTACTGAAAAAATGATGGGAAATTGGTGTGATTCGTTTGTTGTTTGTTTGGTTGCCGGGAAAGTTTGGAGAGGAGCAATTGAAATTGTTGTTATGGGGTTGAATTGGGTAAAGGAAAAAGGTTAGGAAAGATAATTTGTCTCCTGTTTCCTGAGAAATGAACATTTTTTTTGTTCCCCAAATTCGTATTTTTGTAAACGATTTTTATGTTACTAATTGCTAAGGAGCCTCTGCTTCTAGGTTTGGTTTGTTCTTTGTTTGATATTTAGGAAGATGTTGGTATATTGTATAAACTTTGGGTTATTGGTGAATTACTTGATGTGAGAAAGAGAGCTTGAGTGGAAAGCTTGACAGCCGAACAAAGCTCGTTTGCCTAGTTCTAGTGGTATGGCACATAAAGCATGAATTTTTTGTTGCCTTGTTATTTTACTGATTTGCAAGCGGGTTCTTATGTTTTTCGAGAGCATCAAATCTTTATCAGGTTTATCAGAGCACTGGTTGGGGTTATCCCTATTTTTTATGGGATTTCTTAGGTGAAAAAGTTTGTTTCGATGTTTTGAAGTCTGAACAATATCCTCGCTAATGAATGTACTGTGTAAATGCATTGTATTTTTTAAATTACTGATCCAAATGTGTTGAGTTTAATGTCCTAATTCCTTGAGCATGTTTTCTGTTGGAGGAGTGAATTAAGAGTTACTATGCTTAGACCAAAGTCATCTCATATTAATCAAATCCGGTTAGCATTCTTAGTTGTCCGACATACTAATTCCCTTGTTACATGATCTGCGTGAAAATAGGTGGCTTGGATTAATTGGGCAGTTCCGCCCGAAGAAACTATTTTCTTCTATTAAAGCTGAATTTACCAATGATGAGATGCCCTACATTGAAGATGTGGTGAAGCATGTCTTGGACAAGTCACTTTATTCGTTTGGATTATGCACACAGCTTCTTTTGTCTACGTTATCATCCATAAAGTTGAGCACAGAAGGGCATGGTGAGGGGATTTATGGGTGTCAATTTCTTCATTTTTTTACATTTACTATGGCTAGGTGGATAATTTGTTTACTGATTGGAGTTGTTAGGTTTAAAGTTCTTTTTTGGGTTTGTTCATGCCAGGTTGTAGTATCATCCAACTGCGAATTTTTTTTTCCCTTCATATGACAAATTTCTCTTATAGGAATTGAAGTTAAAAATAAGTAATTATAGGGATGTATCACTTGAACCTTACCAGATTCTGTCAGCATGTATAATCTTAAAGTATTGTTTCCTAATTTTTTAATTGTTGATAAGTAGGGCCTTGTTTGGTCTCTAGGATTGGAATGCAATGGACAAACTACCATATTCAGGGTATATTAAAGATAGAGGTGAATGATTTTTCATGTTGAGGTGATTAGAAGGGGGTTATGGAAAATAATCCCTTCTGATCCTTACCATTTTGGCGGATTGAAATGGAAAATAATCCATCTCCTACCTTCAAGTAAGCCACAATTTTTTCATTTCTTTCGTCAACATACCTTGAATATAGTGGGTTGTCCATTTCAATCCAATCTTAGAGACCAAATGAGACCACAATTTTTTCATTTCTTTCCTGAACATACCTTGGATATAGGTTCATATATATATATATATCAACATGCTTCAAACATCTTAATTTACAAGTTTCTTCTGTTTACCACTTTTATTTATAGGTTACATGCCTTGATAACATTGCACATATGCATCGCACGGAACATAGATAAAATTGGAAAGTTTCATGTCTATAAATTAAGAGCCATGTACTGAAAAAATTATTATCTATACCTTTAACATTGCACATATGCTGCCTAAGCTGTTTTAGTGAAAAAGTTCATGTCGGTACGAGGGGCTTTTCGGAAAACCAGAGATTAGATATTTCCTTTATTTGTCTTCCTGTTTAAATTATGAGCCATGTATTAAATTTTCTCTACCTTTAAGATGTTTGCAGCTTCCTTACCATGATATTACACTTGAGGCTGCATGGCCTGAACTGTTCGTTGACCATAAAGGAAAGTACTAGGATGTGCCTGAGTCAATTTCCTTAGATTTGTCATCACTTGTCTCCGAATCTGGATGTGTACATAAAAACAGTGGTCATCCCCAGGCAGTTAATTCCATAGATGGTGAAGCACCTACTTCTCTAATGCCTGGATTCTGCGCAAAGGCTGCCTTTTCTTTTGAAAAAAGCCAAGATCTTTGGAGGCAAAATGAGACACAAAAAGACATCATGATACAGAAAGAAAAGGGTTGGTTTTGGCGGCCATCTTATGATGTGCGGCTTAAAGAATCTCATGCTGCAGTATCTCGAATTTTTGGTAATTTTACACGTTACTCGTATTTTCTATGATAACTTGTATTATCTCGTTACATGTTTTTGGAAGTTTCATACCAATACTCAGGTGTATCTTATAATTTTTAGCTTATACATTTGCATGTTTTTATACATGTATACATGTTTGGTACCTCTTAGTTTCGTTTATATTGTATGTGTGTAGTTTTCTACTTTAGTATATTAAAAGCCAGTAGACTTAAGGAGTATGTCACCTCCTTAAATGGTGTTCCGTGGTGGTGGGTGTGACTGCAGTAAAAGAAAATAATAGTAATAAAAAATAATTCTAGGGACAAATTCTAACAGAACAATTCAATATTTTTATTTTGTGTTTATGAGTCCAGATCCGTTGCCGACAGTATGTGGTATCTTTAGGTTTTTACTTTAACTATTTCCTGATGTTTGCCCCAGGGAGGGCCAGATACGAAATTCTATAATTGTCAAAATTAATCATTGTTTGTGCTACAGTTCCCTTTTGTTTGCAAAATGAAATTGTAATGCCATTCTCACTTCTTTTGGTCAATGGTGGCATTACATTTTAGGTGGAAGCTGCACTGCCTGGTTTCAGGATGGGTACAACCAAAGTGGCAGTTGATATGAGGGGAGACGAGGGCAATTCTAGGAGCAATAAGAAGAGAAGTCCATTCCATGCTGATTTTTTCGGCTGT